TAAGTTTATGTATTTATTTTGAGAGAGAGAGAGAATCCCAAGCAGGCTCCACACTGTCAGCGCAGAGCCCGATGCGGGTCTTGAGCTCACGAACCGCGAGACCTTGACCCGAGACAACGTCGAGGCAGATGCTTAACCGACCGTGCCACCCAGGTGACCCCCTCCACGCATCTTTTTACAAAGCTTTAATGACCTAGATGGACACGGTGCCAACCAGCCTGCTTTTTTTCATATAACACGTGACCCAACGGATGTCCGCGTCCTCATGCAGTCTCTCTTCATCGATGGCTCAAGCTGATTTACTTTATGAACGCGACATACCCAGGCCCACATTGGGGACAGTTGGGACATTCCTGATTTTTCTCTGCGATAAATGAAAGAGGAAGTAGAGAGTGTCCCGGGACACAAAATAGCCTGAGCCTGCCTGGTGGGTGGGGGATTGCTTTGCGCGGAGTCTCTGGCCGAGGACCAAGGAAGGGAAGTCCGTATCAGGGGGAAGGAAGGCAACAGGGATCTGTGTGGGGCCCTAGTCCCAACCAAGACAGCGCCTGATCTCAGGACACAAAGTCACCCACAGAGGGAGCTCCTCCCCCTTCTCAGGGGACACGGTGTGGCTCTGAGGGGGGAGGACACTGAAAACCCCAAAGAACCCAGAAGAATGGCGCTGGCGGCCGGACGACCAGAGGGTTTGGGAGCTGTCACTTTGCACTGGGAGCATAGCCCAGGAGGGACAGGAGGCACCATGGATACGGGTACCCACCTGCTCAGGAGGTCATGGCTTTAGTCTCCCAAGTGTTTGGAGAGTCTCCTGCTGTCTTTCTCTCATTGATTTCCAGTTTGCGTACCTCGTGGTCAGAGAGCACGCCCTGTGTGATTCCAGAGCCTGGTCTCGGGGGCCGGGAGAGGGTCCGTCTTGTATATGTCCCGTGGGCGCTTGACAAAAACGTGAAGCTTGCTGGCGTTGGGTGAAAGGTGTCAGCTGTCGGCCGACGGTGTGGTTGGCTTCTCTAGTCTTGCTGACTTTCTTCTGCGTGGTCGCTCAGTCAGTGGCTGGAGGTAGGTCATGGGTGCTGGGCTTAGACAAACCTGGTCGGAACCCAGGCAGATTCAGACCCGGAACCCTGGAGAATCTCGTGTGAGAGCCACGCTCTGTTGGCCTGGCACGGAAAACACAAAGAGGCAATGTGCACGCAGGGCTTAGTCAAGTCAGACTGTGTTCTAAGCGCTTTATTTACATATGTGAGTAAGTTTCATCCTCGTAACAAACCTGGAGGTCCTGTGTTCTTAGTATCCCCCATTTTACAGATGAGAAGACTGAGGCACGGGAAGGTTAAGTCAGGTCACCAAGGTCAGTAGGGGAGCCTGGAAACAATATGTGCTTGTAACCTCTTGGGAAACTGCTTCTCGGAAAACAACACAACTTCCCGGAACAGATAACAGAGGGCTTACTTTTGAAAGGCTTTTATTTCCCCTTCATGATTGGCCATGAACAGAATCACAAACACGTCTGCCGAATTTTCTGTGAAATTCACAGAGAGATTTAAGGGAGGGGGGGACAGCTCCTGGAAATGGATCAGCGAGCTTCTAGAAAGATCACTAAACTCTACCTGACACCGCCCGCCTCATCACTGTTTGTTTGTTTGTTTTTAATGTTTATTTATTTTTGAAAGACAGAGTGTGAGCAGGGTAGGGGCAGAGAGAGAGGGAGACACAGAATTCGAAGCAGGCTCCAGGCTCTGAGCTGTCAGCACAGAGCCTGACACGGGGCTTGAACTCATGAACCGTGAGATCATGACCTGGGCGGAAGTCGGACCCTTAACCGACTGAGCCACCCAGGCACCCCGGGCAAGTCTTGACTTCATGTGCCTCAGGTGTAAAATGCAAACTCAGCTTTGAAGACTTATTATTATGGAGAAAAGAAGTAAATATCTCGTTAATAATATTTTACATTGATTACATGGTTAAATAACAACAGTTTAGATATATTAGGTTAGTTAAAATATCGCCTTACTGGCGCCTGGGTGGCTCAGTCGGTTAAGCATCTGACTTCAGCTCAGGTCATGATTTCACAGCCCATAAGTTCGAGCCCCGCGTCGGGCTCTATGCTGTCAGCACAGAGCCTGCTTGAGATTCTCTCTCTCTCTCTCTCTCTCTCTCTGCCCCTCCCTGCTTGCGTTTGCTCCCTCTCTCTCAAAATAAATAAATAAACATGAATGAAAATAAAATAAAATACCTTCTTAAAAAAAAAAAAAAAGACAAGCCTCAGGGGTCAGATGCCTGAGTTAGAATCCAGGCTCCCCACTTACTAGCTTCACGATCTTGGACAAGTTACCCTCTCTGCATCTGTTTCCCCACCTGCAGAAAGGGGACAGCAATAGGACTGTCATGAGCACGAGGCAGATCACTAAACCTAGATGCTTACGAGGTCTTTGGCACAGAGGCTTCCATAGATGCTGCACATTGTCATTACTAGCCCAGCAAAGTGCTGGAGAGGACAAGCCCAGGACGGAACCCACAACTGAGACGAACCCTCCACTTTCCCAGAGACGCCTTCTAACCCTGTTGGCCACCCGCCACCCCCCGAAGTCCACGTTTGCCAGGGCTTATCCCCGAGTGACGACCTCCTACCTCCCCCCATCGTGCCTCAAACCATCAGACCGTTTCTCAGCTGCCCTCTTGCTCTCATGGGAACTTGGCTCTGCTCCGAACTGAGTCCTCGAAGGGACGGTGGTCTCTCCCACATGGCTCGCATCCTGAGGTGAGGCACGTGTCTTTCGGCCTCCCTGCTGCTGCTTCCACTCTGAGGTCTCTCGCCCCCCGCCGCCACCTTACTTGCAAAACCCCAAGCGCGACTGGACCAAACCCCACCGACGGGGACACTGTGCCCGAGCTCCCCAGCACGGCTGGGGGCTGCGGGTCTCGCCGTGAGTCCCCAGCGGTGAAGCACCCGGAGGCTCTCAGCCCTGCCCTCCTGGGTTCTCTGGACGGACGACTGCGCACCGCCTCGCTCCCCAGAGGGCAGCACTTCATCGCCACCCTCGGCCAGCCATCCCGGTTCTTCCCTCTCCAGAGAGGCCACTGCTCATCTTTCCCCTGGGACTTCTCACCGTGACCGCTCCCTGCAAATTCCTCTCTGTTTGTTCCTTGATCTTTTGTGTTGAATTTGCCCCTTGGGTGCCTTGGTCACCTCTGTCCCCCCCGTTCCCATCCCCGCCACTCCGATGGAGGCG